ACACACACAAATGACTAGCAAAGTTGATTCTACCCCAAAATATCCAAGAAGCTGAATCCAACCGACTCGATTGGACAATAAAATATAACACAATACTATTCAACTTGAATCCAAATTGATTTAAATTCAACATAATTAGAACTCAAATTAATTTAAACCTGGATGACCTAGAATATTTATTCAAAATTATTCAAAATTAATTTGAATGTAATTTTATTTTTTAAAAATATTAATGTTATTAAATATAATAACTATAATATAAAATTTTAATTTATTAAATTTTAATAACTTTAAATTATCTTTTCACTATTACCCTTTCTTTACTATTATTTTTCTTAATTATAATTGACATCAATCCTTTTTTTTTTTACTCTAACAATATAATAAAGAAAATAATTAAATAGATAAATAATAACTTTAAAAATCCAAAAAAAGCCATAAACTTAAATAAATAACACTAAGTCAATAAAACTAATTATAACACACGATACCATCCAATAAAATTGCAAATATCAATATCTTATTTTTTGGAGTAGTGAGTTTGGTTGAAATTATTAGTTAGTTGTCTATTTTCTATTTATTATTATTATTTTTTTGTCATTCAAGGGGGTAGAGGGGAAGAGGAAGGCTAGGGTTTGAACCCAGCCTTAATGTCTTCTTTAAGGCTGTCTTAGCCACTAAACTAAGCAGTTGAAGATTATTTTTTATTTATTATTAATAAATAATATGGGTGAATAAAATTTTATGAAATATCAATATGAACCACTAATAATAAATTAATAATTAATGTATAAAAAATTAAAAATAAAATCAAGCCCAAAATGAGTTGAACTCCAAATAACTCGAATTTTTTTTACGCAAAATAACTTAATTCAAAATAACTCAATTCAAATCTAACCTAATCCATGAATTTACCATTTCAAAGTTGAAATGATAGGAAAGGATCAAAATTGGCGTAGGAAAAAAGCTAAAATATTAAAAAAAGCTTTTGAACCATTCAATTTTATTTAAATGTCTCTATATTTTTATTATATACAAATAAGTTTTTATCTTTTTATTTGTATCTATATAAACCCTTATTTCAAATAAAAGATTGATTTATATGAAGAGTTCATTTAGGTACAAATTGAAAATTAAAAGTTTATTCAATATAAATAAAAATAAAAGATTTATTTGGATGTAAATTAAAAGTTAAGGTTTATTTAGGTGTAATAAAAATATAAAGATTTATTAATTTAACTACAGTGATAAAAATTTAGGGTTGTTTTATTATTATTTTAGCCTAGAAAAACAAAAAGAATGGATCAAAACTGTTGTGCAAGTCAATTAGATAAGAAAACTTACTATGATTTTTTTTTTTTTTTACGTGAGGAGCTGATGTCCAGTTCCGATGTTGAGTTTCTTGGCTCTGGGGAATGGGTGTCGTGTTGTCTCCTTACCTTAATTATTGGACGTTGGGGTGTCTAGACCTTTGCATGGGACAACATAATGCTGATCATGGTTTAAGATACGCTAAGAAACATTAATTTCAAAAACATTTTTGGTCATTTTCCCTGCGGTAGTTAGAAAATCCTGTCAAATGATTTGATTTGCCAAGAAAATTTGCTCGCATGAACATTTCATAAAAGCATGAATTAATTGGTTATTTTGCATCGAGAAAAAAATACAATGTAATATGGGTATTTGAAGAGCATTCCACACAGTTCATTCCTGCCTATAGTGCAAAGAGCTATCAGAAGTGCATAGCAGCAAGCAAACTTATGTGGCTCAAATACAATCAAATAATTGTTCCTCAGCCTTGGCCATTAAATTTGACAAAGAGACTTTTCAAAGATGGAGACCAATTTGGATTGAGACCATGGCCAAAGCCATCTCCACAAGTTGAGGTCTCCTGCCCCTTAACCTCTCTACTCTTATTTTGGAACAGTAAAACACGCTGAATTTAGCTTCAGTCTTTTGGAAACTCTAAACCCATTTTAATCTAGCCTTGATTTGACATTTACCTACTAGCTTTGCAATTAGTTATATATGCTCAATGAGTCTGCAGATCATATAAACCTGGAATGGCAATTATCAAAGAGAATTTTTTCCCCAAAGCTCTGATGCACTGTTTTCCACCTTCCCATGCATGTTTCACATAGCTTAAATTTCTGGCTGTCAATCAACTTGTTTTTGCCCTACATGCCCCAGCTACATGCCATTGTGGGGTAGCCCAACCTAACTAGATTATCAAATTTAATGTGAAGTGACCTATTAACTAGATTGCCAAATGCATGTTTCACATATCGAAACTAACAGCCACCGTAACGAACACACATACAACTGGATTAATGGGTACTGTTTGTGGTGAGCTAATTTTGGCCAGGATGGTGGTAAAAAGAAAACAAAAAAAATTTGTTTCTGATATTTCAAACTTTAGTTGATGATTATGAAACCCACACTGATTGGATGTTTGATAAAAATTTGGAAATTGGGTGGAGCCAGAGGCTACAAAAGTTGTCGTATTGAATGTATGGACTGTGGGGATCCAAATTGTAGTATATCTATCTATATATCTGAATGCCTGTTTTAAAGCAGTGGACAGAGTTAATAACTACAAGAATGGTCGAAATCCCAATCCCACCATCGAAACTCTTTTAATCCATAGATATGTCGAATTGAAATAAATATACTATATATATATATATATATATATATATACATGATATAGTGATGCGACATTTTTTTTGTCAAATCAGGCCTTCTGATCTATATATATATGCTACTTAATTTATTTTTTTAATGATGTTAGATTACGTGGCACGCTGACAGACAAAATGAAAGTTCAAAGTATATGAATATTTCTTTTAGTATAAGTATTACAGTATCTACATCTTTTCCTGTATCATTAATTATCGGGCAAACAAGACATCATCCCTTCTTATTTTATAGTAGTTTTTTGTTTCTTAAGAATGATTGAATTGTCATATATTTATTTGTTCTTTTTATGTTCATGTATGTATTTGTTGATATAACCCTTAACAGTTTACAAAATTGTAATTAAATAGTAGTTCTTACTCTTTTATTTGCTAACTTAAATTTATTCTGTAAATAAAAAAAGTAGGAAAGCTTGAGTTATTTTTTATTTGTTTTCATTTGTTTTGTAAATATAAGTTACACATGATACAATGTGTGATAGAATATTTACTCATAGCAGTGATTAAACAAAAAAAACCTTTGCTGCCAAAGTTTTATTTACAGTGATAAAATATGTTTTTAAATCTATATTAATTGGAATTACTTTGGATTTGCTTGAATTGTACTTTATTTGTTATACATTAATTAATATTCAAGCCCAACATAAATATATACCACATTGTCGGTAGAAGTGGGTATCTTGATCCATGGCAACGTGGCAAGTTTACTCCGTTTAGTTTTTTTTTTTTTTTTAAGAAAAAATTTAAGATAAATAAATTACTCAATCTTTTAAGTTAAGATAAGATATGTCGTACCTGATAACTTAAAATAAATGACTATAAATTATGCATTCGAAATGATCCCAACAAGCAATTATCGACAAGACTCAAACTCAAGACCAAATCATCTTTAAGTTTCTCTTACACATTTTTCTTACAAATACAATGAGTTTCTTCAATTAAAATTAGTTTTATAATTAGTATTCAATATGGAATTTTCATTTTGATAATTCAATTAATTTTTTTAATACAAAAGAGATTTTTATTTGAATATAGAAAAAGTGATAACAATTTATTAAATTTGAAATTTAAATTTATTACATATTATCTTTTAAAAATAATTAAATTAATTAATTAAGATAAATATCAAATACATAATATAATTAAAATTTGACATAAAGGAAACATGTGTGTTTTAGGCCAAACTTAATATGTTCCATTAACAAATGCTCTAGAAAGTTAGATTTATCTGCGTGTTTATTTATATCATCATTTATTATGAGCATTCTCAGTTTTTAATAAATAATTAAAATAATATTATTACTTTTATTTTAGTTTTATTGATCGTTTTTGTTAATATGAAGAAAAAATTTTTATTATAAAATTCTGATGATCGGAGGAAATGAATTGATCAGATCAAGTACTCAAAAGTCTACCGATAAATAGTCAAAGAGATTGCAAATTGTAATTTTTCATGTGGGATAGTATTGTTATGATATATAATATAAAAATATATGAATAATAAATATAAAAATAATTTAATTTAAAATTTTAATAAAAATTATATATAAATTTTAAAAAATTTAAAAAATATATTTTATATTTTTATATAATACAAATATATAATTTTATATAAAATATAATAAAAACACATAAATTATTATTTTATATAATATAAATACATAAATTATTAAATCTTCAATCAAATCTCCATCGAACATTTAATTGACCCGACTTTCCCATCTATATACCTTAAAGCTATCACAAAGATCAGCCCTAGGTCCCACAGACTCTGCAATATTCTTATTGGCCCACGGAAAATCATTAGATTACTTTTCCACCTTTCTTGGAATGCCAAGTTTGTAAGACTTACCTAGTCCGGATTTCTTAAGAAAAAGTAAGAGAGAAAAACAAATGAACCTGGTTTCAGCCTCATGATCACAAATATAGCATTACCATTTTCAGTAATAAGCCCCAAGAATGCAACCCGCAGGTTTCAGTTGGTGATCAATCCAAAATAGCCATCTTGACTATATTTTAAAGTATGTCAAGGTATATTGATTGTGCTTGATTTCTTGCCTGGAAAATGCTGCATCGTATTACCAGGATTGTTCCAAATCTCTTTCCCATACAGTGGAACTTGTTAAATGAGGAAGCTATAGGGCGAAGCGTTAGCAATTTCCTCCAACACCAACTTGTAGTTCAAAAGTTTTCTTTCTCTGCCTCAAAAAAAAAAAAAAAAAAAAGCAATTTATGTTAATACACCCATTTCACCATCTCACTTTCGTCCATACACCAACTACTTGTCTTGTACCTTCACCCGAAATGCCTGTGGTGACAGAGAAAACGCATTTCCCTATTGTTTTCCTTTATGCGGCTTTGGTCTCCATGTCCCGTGTGCTTTCTCACCTCAAATCATAAAACATGAATCCCATTTGCATATTCTCAGCCTCACTTATTCTCTCGCTTACCCTAATATTTCGTTCTATTTATGTGATATCTGTCAGAAATTGTTGGAACATTGCAAGTATCGGTCCTTCAACTGTTTTGCTTGCAATTTTACAGCTCCTGCTCTTTGTGCTGCAAAGGAGATGAGACCTGAAACATGTCATGGCGAAAATGTGTCCGGTGGTGAAACCACAGTTCCACAATCTAAAATTCATAACCATTTGGATGCTGCTTCCGGAACCACCCAGGATGAATCGGAACCAGCAGAAAGACAAGATCCAACCCTTCAGGATATGTGTGAGTTCGAAAGACTGAAGCTTCAGATGCAAATGACTAATGAACTTGTAAAGATGATGTCATCATTCAATCTTAGTTATGTAATTTGATGTTACCAGAAATTTGTTGATTGGGGATAAAAGTTAATTAATTTGATCTTTTTCGTGTAAGAAAAATGGGAAGAAATAAGGGCTTTGATCTTGTTCAAAAATAAGAACAACAAAACCTTTCTTGAATCCTGTTAATTTGTCTGCATTGGCAGACTGCCAAAACATTAACGTTGCTTTTTCCAGTTTCTTATGTTAAGAGGCAAGAACAACATAATATAATTAACCTGCACTTTGATATCATGTTAAGAAAGGCATTTAATTCTTTGCTTTCTCTTGTTTCCTCTTTTCCTTGCTTTTCTAGTTTCTACGGGAATATATAAAGGAGTTGGGCTAAGGAAGGCATCTATTTCTTTGCTTGCTTCCTTCCTCTGTGTTTCTCCTTTTCCATTCTTGCTTGTAATCTTGCTTCTCACATCCTATATTTTCTTCCTTTCCTTTCTTTCTCTCTAATTACCTTTTTTCCTTCCTCTTTGCCCAGCCTTCTTTCGCCTCACCTTCGGTCTCTTAATTATAACAGTTAGCTTGTTATCCAGCCATTATTCTGGTAAGTCTATTTCGCATTTTACATTTTTTTCTAAGCTCTTTGCTTTGAAGAAAAAAAGATGGAATTAAAATAATTAGCCTTGTAGAGTATTTCCAGAGTAAGGCATTAATGAATCTTTATTCCCAGATTGAAGTACTTTTATTTTTATTTTCTCAAGCGGTTTGCTTTTTTTGTTTGGCTAAATAAACATATTACTTTCTTTCCTTTTCATTCCCAAATCAAGCTATTGATAAGAGAAAGGATCTGATAGCAACATTGCTGCAGATGTCTGAAGCAGGTGACCAATTGCTGGATTTAAGGACAACTAAGCAAAATTGGAGCCGTGATCATCCACCGGTGTTTGTGCAAAAGAATGGAAGTGAACAAGTAGTTTGCTCAATGTGTGAGGAGCCAATACAGGATTCAAGCTACTACTGCTGCACTGATTGTAAGTTTTACCTTCATAAGATATGTGCCGATCTAACTCTCAAAATTGATCTTCCATTCTACCACAGACACACTCTAAGTCTTCAAAAGAAGCCACCAAACCCCTTTTGTTACTGTTTTTGTCTTAATTGCTTCGATCAATGTGAAATCGTTTACCATTGTTCATCTTGTGATTATGGTATAGACGTCAAATGTGCTTTACTTTTACAATTTGTCGCTGGGGACTTTTCCAAACTTCACCAGCACTAGCCATGCCCACCCTCTCATCTTCACCGCAAAAAAGAAGGGTATAGTCAAAATATTTCTTTGTACCGCTTGCGAGGAAACAACACCAGGTCATATCTACAGTTGTCCAGATTGTTATTTTACATTCACAAGAATGTGCAGAACTGCCTCCTAAAATTACTCACCCATCTCACCGCAAACACCCTCTTGTCCTTTTGACTAATGCACCTCCTATCAAGAGATGTGTTTTTCCCATTTATGCAAAAACCGTATTAAGGAATTTATTAATCATTGTTCGATTTGCGATTTTGGCCTCAAGGTTAAAACATATTTTTTCAAGCCAGCTTGAAATTGGGAGCCATGAACACCCATTCAACCGTGTTTCAAAGCCAATGTCATTCATTGGTGATGCTTGTGGCACCGGTGAAGATTGTATCCCGTATATATGTAAGACGTGTAATCTTGCGGTTCACAAGGAATGTTTTTCACTACCAAAAGTTGTCAAAATAACTCATGTTCAGCCAATTTCCCATACATATTTTCTTTGGGAAAATGAGTGTGAAAGGAGGTGGATTTGTAGAATTTGTTATAATGAAGTACATGCAGAGTATGGGAGTTATTATTGCTCAGATTGCAAGTATATAGATCATGAGAATTGCGCAATTGACAGATACTGGTTGGAAGAGATGGTTGAAGATCAAACACAAAATGAGACCTTGAGATTGATTCTCGAAGACTCAATGACTTCCACAGAGGATGTAACAGCCACCGAAATCAAACATTTCATCCATCAACATAACCTGCAGCTTAGCGAGGAGATAAAGAGTGATAGATATTGTGATGGGTGCATGCGAACCATAACAGGTCCTTTTTACTTTTGTAAGCAGTGTGATTTCTTTGTTCATAAATCGTGTGCTAAATTGCCAATGAGGACGCGATATTGGCTTGATGGACGCCTATTTGTTCTCTTTCCATATGGCATTTTAAATTGTCTTCTCTGCAAGCTTTACAGCAGTGGTTTCAACTACTACTTTGAAGAATTAGCACAAGGTGTCTGCCTTCGATGTTTTGCTCTTTCTGATACCCTTGAACATCAAGGACGTAGGCACCCCCTCTTCTTTGATATCAAGTATAAAGGAAATTGTAGTGCTTATGGGGATAAAATGCATGATGGTTACCGATGTAAAGATTGCAATTTCGCATTGCATTGGGCATGTATTTCACTACCACAGACAACTAAGCAGAAATATGATGAACATCCTCTGACACTTACTTATCATGATGGTGATGATCCAAGTCAATATTATTGTGACATTAGCGAAGAGAAAAGAGACCCATCTTACTGGTTTTATTGTTGTCCAGAATGTAACTTTACTGCCCATCCCAAATGTACTCTTGCGCAATACCCTTTTATCAAGCGGGGGATAAAATTCAGACACGAGGATCACCCACACAGTATTGTTTCCGTACAACACGTTTGCTTAGACTTGGGTGTTGAGTGTGAAGAACCGGAATGCACCTATATCAGCCACATGAAAAGCTTCCAGTTGTCAGCTTCTAATTTCATTCCCATTCAAGACTGATGATGAAAAAGACAGGTTGCAGGTGACAACTGGTACGTGATCAAATTATGAAGGAGCCAAGAGTTTTATAATACTTTAATCTGTTCATGTTTAATCTCGTTTTTATATCTTTTTCAGTTATGTTATTATGATTTGCTAATTTAATTAGACATTATTTGAGTGATCATCATCAACTTCATATGCCTTTTGTTCCATGGTTTAAATATTATTTTGATACGTTCTTCTTTCCCTTAATTCATGTTGCAGGTTCATCTCTCCCACAATATTTTATCTAATCTCTTTCAAAACTCAGATTTCATCCCTATTAGCATTATATTTACTTCCAAGTCTTCTCCATCTTTCTTCTTCTTTTTTTTTTTTCTTTCCCTTAGTTGATGTTTGCTATTTATTTTAATCTGTTTTAAAACTGAGACTTCATCCCTATATAGATATAGATGTAAACCTTGATTTTATCTCTCTTTCATTTAACTTAGATTTTGACTTGAGTCAATTTTAAGATTTTTTTTTTTTTTGGCGAGTGTAATCTATACATCAAATCATTCCAGCAAAGAAAGATTTGGATGGATAATATCAAGGGAGAAAACATTCTGGTGCTTTTGGAACCCTACCTGACCATCGAGCAAAAGGTCTGAGATCTTTTTATTGGAGGATGTAAAACTAGAGTTTACACCTAGTCCTGATTGATGATAGCCTCCACGCAATGCATGTGGCAGTTTTTATCCTTTTGGTAGGAAACAGACAAACAGATAAAGAAGGAAAAAAATTTTGATTTAATGGTTGAGCGACATGATAGTACGAGCTATTTTGTTACTCATCCATTAGATTAAAATATTTTCCTTTATTTCTTCTCTCTTCCATCTTACCAATTGGAGTTCAGTTCTGCTAGGAATGAAGAACATTAATTGCTTGTGTCGTTTTATTTGTTATTATTTTCTAGCCATGGCTAATAGTTATTTATTTCTGCAATACAGATGTTCCATTGGGATTACTACTGAACATTTGTGGCAATATTAATTGCTTGTGTCTTTTTATTTTATTTTATTTTATTGCCTTTTCATTAATGTGCTCTCTCTGAAGATATCGTGACGGACGATGGGATTGAGCGTTGCTGATCTTTGCAAATGGCTACTCTTGTGTACACTAATTAAAGTTTATGTTTACAACAAAGCATGTTGGTTTATATGACTATGACTAAGTTTAGACACTTGCAAAACTTGTTTGACTGTATTCTAAGCACAATGCTCTGGCTCACATTGTGCATTTGAAGGTTGACAGCATAGACACTGTGCTTTTGCTCTTTTACAACTGCTTTTTAAGGTTTCTTGTCACTGTTTTTGTTCAATTTTCTTTAGCCTCTGTCAATTTTGTTAATATAAGAGAACAACATTTCATCAGAAGATACTGATGGTTGTAGGAAATGATTTGTTGAGACCAAGGACTCAAAAAATCTACCGATAAATAGTAAAAGAGGTTGCACATGGTAATAGTTTCATGTATGGTTGTACGTACCATCTACTAAAAAACTCCTGTAATTCGACACTACCATCCACTCTCCTATACACCTTTAATTAATTAGCCCCACTTTCCGATCTATATAACTTATGCTCTCACAAAGATCAGCCTAAGTTCCAGACCCTTGAGGGGAGGGGATGGAGCCCCTGACTCCTCACCCTTCTGATTCTCTAAAGATCACAAATGACTGATGAGTGATGTCTCTTGCAATATGTTTACCACCAGGTGCGAGGAACGCATCCGGGGACTATCCTATAGTTGTAATCGATGCAAGTTCTTCCACTACAAAATATGCCTGGAAGCTCCTTGGCTGATGCAACATACTCTTTACCTGAAACACTCTCTCATCCCCTTGCACAACTGCCTTGTTCATATGCATATGGATGAGATGCTTCACCCTTGTCACCGTCCCGGTCATGGCTACTATACATCTACCATTGCACAACCTCAAGTCTCGATTTCTATTGATAGAGCATCATTGTTGCTGCAAGTAGTTGAATGTTCAGGGGATCCCACAGAAGATTTAATAGCCGGCTTACTCTCAGGCTTCTTCAAACAAAGTCTGGACAAGTTTAAATCTATAGATCACCAATAGCAGCTTCTTCTAGAAGCATCTGGTTGAAGCTTTCATCGAGACCATCGATCTGTTCAGGCAGAGAGTAAGAGCTTCAATTGGATGAATTCTATGTGCTAACCGAGAGTGGTAATCTGGAGCTTAATTTGTCTTGTCTTGACAAGCAGCAGCAAAGTGCTGCTATCTTCCTTTCTCAGGTGGGTTGTCACTTTGTCAGGTATTTAATTTAGATGCTGCCATTATTTGGAGTACGTCTTTTTGGAGTATAACCTAAATTAAGCAACTGATCATATGTCCCATTGAGGTTGTTAACCAAACTTTTTGTTACATTTGCAGACCAATAAAGAAGCATAGAAACATGAAAAAGTTGGTTGTGCAAGGAGGGTGAGAGGGTGTTATGGGTGAAAGGGGTGTTGGATCAGGCAAGGAGCTATGGGCACGTTTTGTGGAGGAAAAACTTGCCTTGGTTATGACCCTAGGTTGGACCTCTCATGGGTTGATCGTACCTAGCTAGCTAGACTATGGCCCCCTCTTCTCTAACCTCATTTATCTTTTTTAAATGTTCTTACTGTACATTCCGCGTTTGTGATTGAATGGGAACCGTTTGGACAAGTCAAGTTTTTTACTTTCACCATTGATTCTGTCTATGCTTCAAAATTTTCTTGCACTTAATCAAATCCCTCTAGTTTCTTTTTTTGGAAGATTAAACATCAAACATCAAAGTGGTGCCTCTTGCCAGCATTCCAATGAAAATTCATGACTCCTGGTAGCTGTTGAACATAAACATAAAAATTTCCTTTTTCTTTTGAGTTCCTTAAGATCACCAAATTTATCATTCCTTTTGAAAGAAACTCCACTTTATTACATTCCATTATTTTCTGAGAGCATCAGACGACAATCTTTTGTACACAGCAGGCACAATCAAATAAACGTAATCTACCCATATGCAATTGAACAATTCAAAGAAGAAATGCATGACGTGTTAAATGAAGCAAGAAAAATTCGTCCTCCAAATAAGATCAGATACAATCGATAAGTTATATTAAAAAGGGTAAAAACAGCATGAATTTTTTTTATATGTATATAAAAAATCCAACTTAATTGATAAGATATTATTTATTTTAATTAAATAATCTTAAAATTTTGAAAGACTTATAAATTTATATTTAATTCTCAATTATATATTATAACATACTTTCCAAATTTTTTATACCAAATTGCGATGTCACAATTTATTGTGATTAAGCAGTGGCGGCCTTATCGCCTAAGCTTCCAGCTTGAGTTGAGCTTTGATTGGTGGGAGAAAAGGAGAAAGAATAATAGGAGTGGAAAATTATGAAAAAAAAAGAGAAAAAATGCAAAAAGTAAGAGAAAGAAAATGCAGATTAGATGTCGTAACAAGAACAAAGACTAACAACTATCGTCCACAACTGTCATTTTTATAGTACTTGTATCTCACAGTACATTAAAAAGTCACGTGCCAATGCTGGTTAATTGCCACAATTTAAGCTAGTTGTTAAAATATGGAAACAGGTCTGAAAACAAGAATATAAATCAGCCGCTAACAGCCAAAGGTTGGAAAGTTTTGTAATAATTTACAAGATAGATCATGGTAAAGTTCACTTATTGAATTAGTGAAATAAAAAAAGTGCTAATAGAGGATTGAAAGAAAATAGGTATATCAAGCTATAGAAAATTTTTCATTTTCCTTTGTTAAATGAATACTAATAGTAATCATGTATCGTCCTTACCACATTCAAGATAGTCTTGGCTACTGGAATAGCAGTAAAATTGGCCTTTCACTATATAAGTTTATTTTAGTATTATTTGATACTATAATTTTTCTTTATTAATGAATCGATAGTCTATTTACGACTCTACAAAAATTCTTACAAAAATTCTAATGTAGAGGATCCACTAACTTGTATCATTATAAATTATGATATAAAAATTAAGATCGAACTCTAAAATTAAGATTCGGATGAATGAAAATAACCAAAAGATAAAGAGTTTAGAAACACGAATTTTTATATTTTACAAAAGCTTCTTACAAGTGATTTTATGATCATTCTAAACTCTACCTTCTCAAGGAAAGAGTTACAAGCTTATATAAGAAAGAAAAACAAATGAATAAGACTTAATATGACTTAGGAGGTCTATAAAATACAAACAAACTAATTAAAATAACTTTAATAAAATAACTTTAATAAATGAGAGGAAATTTAAAAATACATTTTTATTTCACAAGAGATTTTTACCATAGAAATTAGGAGAGAAATTGAATTAATGTTTTATCGAAGAAAGAGTTACAACTTTATATACGCATGAAAAAAAAAAAAAAAGACGTGATATGATTTAATTTATTCATGACTATCACATACAAACAAACTAATAAAATAATTTTAATAAAGTAGTTTTAATAAATTGTTGATTCTTTTATTTTTATTGAAGTACTTTTAATAAAATTGATACAACATAAAATTGACATAAAATAAATTTAATACAAAAATTGACATAAAGTTGACATCACGTAAAATTAGACATAAAGTTAACATGATATTGGCACGACACAAAATTGATTTGAAGTGACATCTTTTGTGTTGGAATGGATGAAAAAGAGCTTCAAAACTTGGACACTTGCACACTGAATAAAGTTATACACATAATTATACATATTTTGTATTGAAACAGGGAATATAATGGAGAGAATCTTCATTCTCCAAATGGATATCTCTTGGATCTTACCAATATGGATTCGCAGAGAGTTGCATCAGTTCTACGGAACTCAAGAAATCAAAATTCAAGAGCCTTTTATGACAAATCACTCCAACAATTAGTCCAGGGAGATGTTGGGATCCTCTCATTGAGATGATTATGCAACTCTAGGATGTATTGTTATCTTTTATTTTATTTTTCAAGTTTATTTTGATCCGGATTACATGGATTTCTTCGATGTGCATCACTACATCAGAAGCAGACCCTATAGGTAACGCAAACCCAGAAACTTTGACCAAGATGTAACTTGTAAGGAATTGGGAAAATATTCCTCACGTCCTCATTTAATTGTTTATTTTTAATCTGAATACTTAGTAATTAAATAATTAAATCTCCCTTTTTCTTTTTTCCTGACTGCAGAAATTTCTATGTTCAGATTGTACTAAAAGCGACAGTTTCAGAAATCTATTGCCAATTTTGACATGTTCTCTCACCCCAAATTTATGCCCTTCTTCCATGCTGCTAGTGCAAACAATTGTGAACTGCAGGAGCCTTATACAGGTGTAATGCTTGACCTTCAGTTATATCCATCATTCAGCACTGCAGTGTAGATGCCAAATTATTCGACTGGTTATGCTTTTCATTTGTATCATCTAACATCACCTGATCAAAAGTGTAATGACTAACATTTTCAACTATACTCTACATCTTGGTCAACTTGTAATTAAACATCAAATGATTTTTCTTTCATCTCCTTTTGCAAACACTTCTGCAGCATAATGTTTGCGGCAGATCAACATACGACTGAAGGTACTGTTGATGCGGTACTTTTCCTCTCCCTTGCCACTTTGAGTCTATTCTATTCTAGTGCTTTACAAAATGTTTTACTGTTTGTATTTATGAGATATATAGTCTTTTAGGGTATAACTGCCAGTCTGCCACATGCTCAACCAATAAAAGGTGGGCTTTTGAATAATTGTAGTAACTGTCTTGAACACTTTCATTTTTTTTTTGCTTTCTTTTGTTTGGATGTCTTGGAAGGAAGTCACCGTTTTCATCTTTCATTTTACCAATTATTAAGTTGGTTTTTTTATGGAACCAATACTTAATTTGTTAACTATTTTTCACTGTTGCAAAAGTTAAAGAAAATTGATTGAAAAAAAGAAAACTTTCGTGTATATCTAATATTGCTATAAATGACTCATATGAATACACGAATATATATTCGTAGTTTATTCATTTATTTTTAAGGTTATTTGGGATTGATTTGTATTTGGTAAAAAAAATTATTCATTAAATTCGAGTTTAATTTATTTAAATAAAAAGATATTCGAGTTCAATTTGTGTTTAATTTGTTTAAGTTAAATAAATTCGTTTGTGAATATTAAATGAATATATTAATAAATACATATAAATAAGAATGTTTATAAACAATAAACATATAATTATAAAATTAAAAATAAACAAATAATTTATTATTGTTGTTGTTATTATTAAATAATAAACAAATCTTAAATAAATATAAACAAATTTTAAACAATTTTTAAACAAATTTTATTCGTTAACATAAATAAATCAAATAAAATTTTGTTCGTATTTAATTTATTTAAGAAATGAATATAAAAATATTATTCAAAACTATTTATTAAATTTAATAAATAAATAAAAATTGAATATATTTACAAATAATTCATAAAAATGTTGATCGTTTAAACCCCAAAGTATTGAACAAGAAAGCGAGGCTCATGGCCCCAAAGACTTTTTTAAAGCCAGGATGAAAAGGAACTTAACCACTAGGCCTGCAAATTGTTGCCATAAAGTTAGTAGCACCAAAAAACCAATATCTGTCAGATAATGCCAAGGAGTTATGCCAGCCAGAGTGCCATTTCACAAGTTTTTCTTTAGAAATTATAGCTTTCTTTTTGTACAGATTAACTTTTACCAAATTGACTAAATCTAATGTTATGTTTGTAAAAATAAATTTGAGAATGTGGATTTGAATTTTATTTATTATACAAATTGTTAAAGCAAAATATAAATCATGCATAGTGTAAATTAGTTAAGATTTAATATACTTTTGTATTTAAAAATTATTAAAAAAAAATTTTAATTCAAACGTATCTAAAGCACTATAGTATCTAAATGGCAAACATTTTCTAAATTATTGTATTTCTAAATACCAATTAATGTTTTATTTTTTAATAATTTAAAGGGAACAAAGCCTTACATTAAGGGGAAGAAGAAATGTTAAAGTTTGAACCCGATCTTGATGTCTTTTTTAAAATTGTTTTGATTACTAAATCAAACAATTAAAAATAATTAATATTATTTTGGTTTTAAGTAATTCGGTGAATAAAAATAAAATAAAATATTAAAATTAACCGAACAAATGAACACCTGTTAGTATCGTGAATGCTCTAGTATTAAGTACTGTGTATGATAAACAATGTTTCCATTTGACCTCACTTTAAGAATAAAAAAACTCAAAAAAGGAAATCTTCTTGGAAGGAAAACTGCTGACATAAACAATGGATTAAACGATTAGCCGTTGCCTAGAACAAGCTCCAATAAAAAACACAATCAAAGTAAAACTTAACTACTTCGCATGACAAAAGGTTGTAATTAAAAATTTAGGTTTTGCCCATATATATCTGACAATACAACCACTCAAAACTCTAAACCAAAAGAATACCAAAGTAAAGCATAGCAAAACGAAATGCAAAATTCCCTCTAGAAGACAAGCTCGTGAGGCTTCATGCCGGACTTGAGAGAAAATCTGGCAACAAGGTAGGCCTTCAAGTCTGGGACTCCCTCAATTGACTTTATCAAAGATGCGTCAACGGCTTTCTGGTCTTCTTTCTTGTCATCTGGCAGTGTCTTCTTATCCTACAAAGAATAGAATATCAGCACAATAAAATTAGACGGACAAGATTAGGGTTGCATAAATTATAATAAAATGCAGGAACAAACCTCTTTTTCAGCTTCGAAAAACTCTCCCTCACCGTTCTTCTTCTTCTTTTCTACTTCCTTGGCAAAGTACTTGTCATCAAACTTATCTACATTAACTTCTGAGATGTCAACCTTGGTGGAAGTAGCAATAACGTAGGATTGGTTCACTTGCCTTAAAGGAACACCATTAATCTTGAATGGTCCTACAATGAAATGAAATTCCCAAATTTAAGCCAAGCAAGCACAAACCATAAAAATGTTCAATAGAGGAGAGAACCACTAACATATGAAGAACAGCCTACACATTACGATAACCCAGCCTCATAAACCACAAGAGGCAAAAGTAGATACTAAGAACAGTAATGAAAAAAAAAATACTAGTAAAAGCATCAAGTTTTCACGATAGCTGCACTCAAACTCCAGCATTTTGAATGTCAAATGGATTATTCTATATACAAGCACACGAAATCGAGAATGCAACATTGTGCTTCTTCAAAAACAATACAAAATACATTTAATGACCGTACTACTGCTGATATTTATGAAGCCATATGTGGCATAGACAAATCAATAAGAAAGTATTAGCTGCAATTGCTTTAAAGTTACATTTTCACAGTTTACTGATTTCACTTCATCAAAATAACTAATAAAGGGCAGCAGTAAAATGTGTACAATACACGTTTTCAACTAGCAAAATTACTATGAAATAAAAATAAAATAAAATAAATAAGCTCACCAGTAACCAAAAGGAGTCCAGAAGTAAGTTGCTTCAAGAAAACAACTCTCTTGCCCATAAACCTCCCAGCCAACAAAATCAACACCGTCCCTGGAGTAATGCTCGCTCAAAATAAAAATAAACCAAACCCAACAACAAGAAACATATCTTTAGAGATCTACGAGCAAGTAAAAAAATAATCATTTGAAAAAAGGAACCTGAGTTTGGTGGGTTTAGGCTTGCGCTTATTAAGAAGCGCCCTCTTGACATCATCAGCAGGGTAAAACTTCGGTGACTTCTCGGCGGCGGCGGGGGCCTTAGGAATGGGGTCATGGCGAGGCAGAACGCCGCCCTTTTTGGCCTTGATAGCCCAAAGGCCACGCTTGTGATACATCTTAGACCTGGAATACTTTCCTACTCCACGTATAAGATCTGGGTTTCGACTCTTGACTGGGGACTTCCTTTTCGCCGCCATTCCTGCAACTCTTTGCTCCGCTGCTGCAACTCCTCGTGTGATTTGGAAAGGTCGATAAGAACAGAACCCCAAAACGTTAATGTATTGCAAACTGAGGGTTTTTTATTTTTTTTTTACTTTTAATTTCCTTCTAAATAATATTGAAGAAAAAGTTTTAAATATCAAATCAATTCTCCTACGGTTTTTACGAATTGAAGAAAGATGTACAGTTCTTTGCTGCAAATTTGATAAATAAATTCAATTCTATAAATTTAAGCTTGAGTTGGCTAAAATGATAAGACAAATATCATATAAAAATTATTAAAGGATACCACACCTAGAGGGATTTTTGTAAATTACCTGATGTAAATTTTCATATATGCTGAAGAGTTTAATTAAAAGTAGATTTAATTATTTATGTATTCTTATTTATCTATTTCATATAAAATACATATAAAATATAAAAATTATTATATTATAATTTATATATATAACTTTTTTTTTATCAAACTCATATTATTTCTGTTAAAATCTTAAATCGTATCACTTTAGCAATGCTTAGATCTAATCAAGAGCTGAAATAAAGGAAATTGATGGCGCTAACGAGTACACTAGTAAAGCCAAAAAAATGAGAATGAAAATAGAAAAAAAAAATCAAGTAGGTGAAGCCCCATGAAATTTCTTAAATAGAGATATAATATAAATTACTATAAAATATTATTCTCCGAATGGTCAGTTTGACCCAAGAAGTGTATTCGAGATTCCCCCTACTCGTAATCTATCCATTTGGGATGACAAAGTGACTCCAATACAAAGTTCTTTTCCCAGCGCCAATTTCATAAATTCAATGAAAATAGGTGAAAAAAGAGGTAAGAGGTTCACACAGTTTGCACTGTCAAATCATGTATTCCCAATTCATGGTACAATCTATGCACATACTCTAGTATTGGGCCATCATCCATCTTTTTCTTCACCAGTTCAAATGTCAACAACAAATGCAACATTAAACATGCAGCAATGGACAGGGGCAACTGAGTTGGAGTCGGTCTGAGTCGAGAACATTCGAATCACTCTCAAAGACCGAGTATTTGGAGCCCAAAAGGGATGCAGAAACAAAGAAGTTGAGTTGTAGCTTGTTTTTGAAGGAATCAAAGAAAACTCATTACCAGAATGAGGCTTCTTTAGTCTTTGAGAGACAAACCCAGATGAACAACCAAGAATTTGGATAGTTTTTAGCATTACGAAGTCAAACAATGATAAAAAAAAAGAAGTACGGTAAAAAAGAAAGGGAGAGAAATTGAGAAGAGTTAAACCAATGGGTTAGTTTGGTTTCAGATGATGATTGTGATACGGAATACGATGAATTTAACACATTGCCGTTGGTCGATGATGTTAATGATTTTGGACTCTATTTCACTGGGGTGTTTTTTGCTTGGAGGAATTAGTTTCTGTACGTGTGCTTTCCTTGTTTCCTCTTTGAAACTTTGGATGATCAAGATCTGGTTCAAATCCTTTGCTCTTGGTGATAATTCGAACTGAGTCAAGATAGATATTTTTAAAAAAAAATTTTTGGCCAAAATCAAGTTATAATTAGATATGATAATTTATTTATTTATTTAATATTATTGTAGACATCCAATTGGGTCTAGGCCCAGATTAATTGGACCTGACCCAAATGGGTAAGGTCCAATTCAATTTTTATCCTGTATTATTTTTTTTATATTTTATGTATTTTATTATTTTTTATTATTATTATGTATTAATATATGTATATCTGTATTTATTTATTTTTTATTTAGAATAGATTTATATGTATTTTATTTATATAATTATATATTTATTATTATATTATTATTTTTTTTTTTGTAATATATTTTTGGGTTTATCTTATTTTATTTTTTATTTTTTTTTAAAATTATCTGTTAATTTTATCTGATTTTTTTTCTCGATTATCTGATTAGTATTATTATTATTTTTTTTTATGGCTGTGATTGAAAGTTGAAGAATCCCATTGTGAATGAAAATTCAATCAGAAGAGTCCAGATTGGATTCAAAGATTGAATTCCCGTCCAACGAGGAATTGGGATTGATCAGGAACTCCTGATCAATTCCTATAAAAGGGACCTCCTGGAACAGATGCAAGACACACATAACAAACAGTGAGCAAAGCTACTGATTTGAGAGAAAAAGAGGCATATAGGAAGCTGAGAAAAGGTTTAAGAGTGTTCGGGGAGTTAGCAAAAATTTTTTGAGAATTTTTGGCGATTTTTTTTTCTGAAAATTTTTGAAAAATTCCAGATTTCGGTGAATTTTTCGACGAAGTTTGAATTTTTCGACGAAAATTTCGACCAACCTTGAAGTTTTTGGTGACCTGCCCAGTTTTCGACGAAGATTTCCAGAAACCGGTGAGCTTCTGGCGAACTTCCGGCAAAAAAACCCAGATTTCGACGACAAAACCCAGAATCCGGTGAATCTTCAACTGGAGTTCTTCGGCTTTTTAGAGAGAAGGGAGAGGAAAAAAGAAGAAGAGAGAGAGAGAGGGGAGGAGCGTTCTGCCGAAAACAGAGGGAAGTGCCTTTTATACCCTCTCAAAATTACGTCGTTTTGGCCTTAAGTAACTCAGAGGATCCGCGTGTTTTGTCGAGATCTAACCCGACCCGAGCGTCGACTTCCTAACCCGCGCATGTCTACCTCCCTCCAAGCCGAGCCAAATCGAGCCAGCTCCAAAGCCGCTTCTCCGAGTCATTTTTTTTCTTCTTTGAGCCGAGCCGAGCTGAGCCGCGATCCAAGCCACTCCAGGTTTTTTTTTTTTTTTTCATTTCTTTGTTTATTTGTTTGTTTTTATTTTTTTTATTTATTAGATTAAGTTTATTTAATATTCTTTTTATCTTTATTTTATTTTTATTTTTATTTTTGTTTTACTTTTCTTTATTTTTTATTTTTATTTATTTTTTTATTATTCTATTTTTTTAAAAATGAAAATCAAAATTTTCAAAAAAAATATTTTTAGAGAAAAGTTGAAAGTATCAATTTTTCTTAAAAATAAATTTCAAAAAAAGGGTTTTTGAGGAAAAGTTGAAAGTATCAATTTTCCTTGGAAATCAAGGTTTCAAAAAAAATTATTTTTGAGGAAAAGTTGAAAGTATCAATTTTTCTTAAAAATAAATAAATAAATAGTTTTTGAAGAAAAGTTGAAAGTATCAATTTCTCTCAAAATTAAAGTTTCCAAAAAAGTATTTTTGAGGAAAAGTTGAAACTATCAATTTTTCCTACACAAGAACAATCATTATTTCCTTCCTTTCTATTTTGATTTTGATTTTGATTTTGATTTTTCTTTAACTAATCCGACGACGGAGCCTCTGCAAGTGAAACAGTAATTTTTCTTGCATACTCTTGAGGTGAGAGAATTTTCTCAATTTTCTGCTAAAAGTATTAGTGTCAATTGAGAAAAATTTTCAATAACTAATTACTTGGTAAAATTTTAAAGCTCATTGGATAACATAAATTTAAGTTGGTACCATCTTTTGATGGGCGTTGTGAGGGTGCTATAACCTTCCTCACACGTAACCGAACTCCCGAACCCTGTTCTGGTTAGTAGACCTGAACCTATTCTTTTAGGGACCCTTAAACTTAGGTGTTCCCTAAAATGACAGATTCCTTAGGTGACCAATTGTACCTAGATAAAAAAGATTGGTGGCGACTCCCTTAAGTCAATGTCTAGCGATAGATCCCCGGATCTAGACGTTATGACAGCTTGGCGACTTCGCTGGAGATTTTGAGAGTCAGGCCAGCAAATAATTTGTGTTATCCAAAAGCCTAATAAAATTGAACCTTTTTGTATATATGTATTATCGTTCATTCATGTTTATTTATTTTTTTAATTATGTCATTCATGTGCATGTGCATAACATGAGCTCTACACCCCGAGCTCCGTCCCTCTAGGAGGGAGTAAAGTACCTATTGCTTTCGTGAGGTCTAATGCCTCCGTAGTGGCTAGCGAAATACTCTCATTCAAATTAAATATTTTCCGCTTGTAGCCTATAATGGGTGAGGATTAGGGTGCTTTACTAGTCTGTGATAGACAATGATGTAAAGAATAATTTGGAAACCTTTAGACTTTAACCTTGAACCACATATAGTGAACCTTAAGAGTGCCTAAACCTAGGATAGAGCCTTTTCTACCCAATGATAGATATACCCTGAAATTAAGACACAAAAAGGGTGTTTATCTAATCATTTTAATTGTTTAACTTTGTGTATCATTTTCATTATCATATGTAATATTATGCATCAACATTACTTTCATTTCATCCATGGAACTAACTATGTTGTTTGTCTGATTGTATGCATTTACATTATTTTCATGATCATGTTTTTAACACAATCATTTGCATCCATGTCATACTAGATTTCATTCAGGAAAATGTGCATTTCATTCGTACATTAAAGCATCATACATAAAGCATAGCATAACATTTCTAATCATAAGTATGGTACTCAATGTCCAAGGATAGCTCCATCTAGCGAAAATCCTGCTCATCCATACAACACAAGATCCAGAGCAAGGCAAATGGAGGAGGAAAGTTCCCATAGATTTGAAAAACTAGAAAAAGCACAAGAGAAGATTGAAAGTGAGCTAAGCAAGATTCTGGAGGCTCTTAATAACATGAATAAAGGAAAAATAGTTGAAAAAAGTACAAGCCAGCAAATTCTCCATTTACAAGAAGTGGCTGATCTTTTGTACCCTCCAAGTTTTGGCCCATCTCAAGCCCAGTCTGCTCAAGAGATCCTGCCACCACACTTCGCATATCCAACATATCCTGGAATGCCATCAGCTTTCAACCCAAGGCAGTATAATAGTTATATAAATCCTGTCTTTACTGAAAATGCAGCAGAACCAATTCTTGATTTAGATGATTTAAAAGAAAAGGAGAAAGAAAAGATAAGAGTAGAAGTTCAAGAAAGCTTCAAGATTAGTATGCTAGAGCAAAGGTTACGGGCTGTGGAAGGATTTAGCTTTTATGGGTCAGTTGATGCTGCTGGGCTCTGCCTAGTTCCGGATGTAATTATTTCTCATAAGTTTAAAGTACCAAAATTTGAAAAATATGATGGTACAAAATGCCCCAAAACTCACATCACAATGTATTGTCGGAAAATGACAGCTCATGCTCATGATGAAAAACTTTTGATGCATGTCTTTTAGGATAGCCTTACAGGCT